TGTTTTACGGAGCGGGTTGTCCCAGCACGTGAGACATGTATTTACTAGGCCTAATGTCCTGTCTTGTTGTGCATAGCGTGAGTGCACCTTTAAGGCCTAACTTTTGTAACGTCTACTGCCATTGTTAATGACCAAGACAAATTTCTCCCTGCGAGATGAATAAAGATTGCCATTGTCATTGTCATTGTCATCATTTTTATTATGGGATGAAATGGATGTCATTTCAGCTAATTTGAAACTCTTAATGAAGCCATCTTTTGCTGCATGCAGTGTTACTCTCGTTTACATCTGTTAAAAACTGAAGTTTTCAAACGTGCCATGCCATGGGGACTTCCATGGAAATACCAAATGCGAAGCTATATAAATATACTATATTTTTGGAGGAAAGCCCTGATCTACTTTTTGCTCTATTCTCATTCCGATTCGTCCACAGCCAGCTCGAAATTTTCCCTGCAATTTCTGAAATGTGCATGATGGCTGCCTTTCTTTGTCTTCCTTTGAGGTCTACTAGATGCTCCAGCAGCGTGAATGTTGAGGCTGGGAAAAACCCCAGTGCACTCACTTCTACAGACATGACCTTTGAGAAATAAAAAAGTCAATAAAATAAAACAGTTTAATATAAAATCAATCAGTAAGTGAAAATCAATCAGTAAGAGACAAATGCAGTTTATGGGGACACTTGAATAGACGTATGGGCCTTGAACATCTAGCCCTCACTGGCAAAATTGGGGGCGGGGCCGAAACTAATGGGTGACGTGGGAAGATCAGGATAATGTAGCTTTTTTTTTAGAGCATCCGAGCAAAGGAATGAATGGAGAACCATAATCACCTATGTCTGTCGCAGATCTGACACTTTGTGATAATGATGGTCGACTCTAACTGCGGGTGGTTAGTGGGCATCACTGGTAGGTCCTGTTTCTTTTCCTGTCTACTGTTGTTTTTGTCTACCTGCCATGCTTCTTCCCTGCACTATATCACCATTATTGTGTCGATGTGCTTCTCTTTGCTCAAAATCAATATCGACGAAAATTATCATATTATTTTGGGGCACAAACAATTGTACTGTGTGTCCAAGTGACATGAGAAATTCACTGTATCAGTTCTTATAACACAAGAAGTTTGTTTTGAGTCAATGGGTCATCTAATCAAACAGGTGGATGTCTATGTAAAAGAACTGCTCAAACACAAGGGACAGCCCACAGAGCTGAGGTCAATCACCAACATGAGTGTGTCGAATGTCATCTGCGCCATTATCTTTGGCAGGAGGTACGAACTTTACGACAAGCGGTTTGCTAAAATGATGGGCATCTTCCAAGAGGTGGTAAGTTCAATGGCGGAGTTTGTTTTGTGTATGTGCGTATGTGGGTTAGGGTTAGAGTTAAGAATAGACTATAGGGTTCGGGATATGTTTTTGTGTGTACGTGTGTGTATGTCTGTCTGTAGTGCAAGTGGATGTGTGCATGTGTGTGTTCGTGTGTGCATGTGCATGGGAGGGGGGGGGAGA